GCTTGGATCCAAAGTCAGTGTGTATATACCCAGGAAGCATTGCCTATCTCCATAGAAACAGGAAGAAAGGCAGAAAATCAAGTTCCTAAGACTCAGGATGTCTCATGTGAACTTGGAACACTGCATTTTACAAATAAGACAGAGCCTGGCACAGGAAAGTCTCTCATTCATTTGACAAATATGTCATCAGGGCCTTCCCTGGGTCAGGTACTGTTTCAGGTACAGAGGGTACAATGATATGCAAAAGTGACATGGTCCTGCCTTCTAAATGCTTCAGTCTAGTAGGGGAAACATTAATTCAAAAGAATGCAAGCAATTCGCTATAAGGGGTAGAAAAGAAGGGGCCAGGGACAAGGAGGGGACAGGGGACAGCTGTAGCAGGGGACAGCTTTCCTGGGAAAGTGCTCCAGGGAGCAGAGAGACGGAAGATGAGTAGGCATTAACCAGGGGAAGAGGGAGCAAGAGAATGTTCCAGGAGGAGACAACAGCATATGAAAGATGGAGAGGAGCAGGGCAGACTGAGGAACAGAACAAAGTCCTAAGAGGCTGGGGCACAAGGAGCCAGGAAGGCGGTGGGAGCCGGCTGGTCAGCCAGGTGGGGCCACGTAACAGGATGTACTTTTTATTCTGAGCACAAAGAGAAGCTACTGCAGAGTTGCAAGCAGGGAAAGGATTTGCTTTTTTGAAAGATAATTCTGATTTGTGTATGAAGAATGGACTGGAGGAGAAGCAGGGAAGACCAGTTAGGAGGCTGTGACACTGGTCCACAGAGATGGTGTCACAGCTGGTGGGGAGAAGGGAGGGAGGGAAAGAAGTGGGAATATTCAAGAGATACAAGCTAGGAGCTGGCACAAATGGTTCTTGACAGATAGGGTGAAGGTTTTGAGGGAGAAGGAGGTCTCAAGGATGACTTCTGGGTTTGTGGGTGGGGCCATGGGAGAGATGGTGACCCAGGTTTCAGCAACAATAATTTATAAATCTATAATTGACCCTCTTTGTTCCAGGAACTGTGCCGAGCATTGGGGTTGCAGGCCAAGAGGGTGGCCCCTGCCTTCAGGGAACTCACAGTCTAATGGGGGAGACCTGACATGTAATGGGGGTCTCTATAGATGTGGGGAGAGACTATAAAATGGTGCTGCGAGGGAGATACAGACAAAACTAATATGGAGAGATACATGCAGGAAGACCTTATGAGGAGGTGGGCTCTGAGCCGAGCCATCGAGGGAAGGGGGGCAATCCAGGGAGCAGAAACAAAGAAACAAAACATTGGGAGTGTGTAAAACAGCACGGGGTAGTCAGAGGACAGTGCAAAGAGGGTGAGGCTGCAGGACTGGCCACCACCTGCCCTACCTTCCTCCAGGGCTGCCCTGAGGGTCCAGTGTGAGGGCATTTAGTAAACTGTTACTACAGTTATTATAGTAGTGGACTTATTCATGTGATGTACTCCACAAATATCAAGCACTCCACAAATATCAAGAACTGTGATTTCAGATCCCTGCCTAACAGGATCATCTGTTTCTCTGTTGTGATAATCCCTGACATTTGTATCGCTAACCTCATTGTATAGGAGGGGAAACTGAGGTCTAATGTAGTTGAATAATTGCCCAAGAGCTTGCAGGCAATAAGCAACACAGGAACTGAGACAAACCCAGCAGGTCGTTTTAGTTTCCAAGAGGGTACACAGGCTGGGAGGAGAAGGGGTCTGTGTCATATGCTGTCTTGAGAAGGTATGCGTCTGGCTCCAGGCACCAGATTCGGCTGTGCAGGTTCAAGGACAGCTGGCCTGATAGCTGAGTGGAGCTGAACGCAGCCCATCTCCACTCACCAGCCATGCGCCCGGCTTCCCCCCTCCTGGGGGCACGGCTTTGTCGCCACACAGAGGGCGCTCTGAGTGCTGCTTCCCTGCCAGCCTTACTGGGAGTGGAGGGGCATTTAACAGCTGGGAGACTGGCAGAGCATCATGGAACCAAGCAATGGCCAGTCAGTGTCAATGAGAGTTTTATGTTGCCCTTGAGGGCAGCTTTGTTCATAGAAAACCCCACCAAGGCTGCTGATGTTTTAAAACCGGGTCCTTAATTGATATAATTAACAAATTTAAAAATCTAGTCAATTTTAACAATCTCTTTGAAGGGTGATTTTATAACTTAAGTCATTCAATTCCCTTAAATAATTTAAAGTATAAGTAATTTAAAATAAAATAAAATAAGCTTAAAACTATGAAAACTATTTGGTTGACACAGAAGTTTCATCGTTGTTTACAAAATGCATAGAATTGTCTTATGTCTTTCAATTTAAAACCACAAGTCTAAATTAATTATTCCATTACAGATTTTATATTGGAATCACAAAGCTAATCTGTTACATATTCTAATATGCTAAATTATTTTAAACATTACAAACACTTTCAAACTAAATCTATACCAGTTTTTCCTAAACTTAATATCAAAAAAAGGTAATATGGTAGATTTGATTTAATTTATCACTTCTAATCTTAATTCTAAACCTTCCCATAACTAAAGACACTTACTTAGTCACTAAGGAAATAAGTGTCTAACCAAAGCAATATCAGTTTATATACCCACACAAATTTGGAGTTAGTATGCAGCTGGCTAAAAGTGCTCATTAAACAGAAACTTGGGGCATAGCATGGGAGCCAGTGCTGCAAACACCCAGAGAAATGTACTGGGTTGTCGGAAAAGTCATGACGCATATTTTACAACGAAAACCATAGAAAAACTACGTCACGACTTTTCCGACAACCCAATATTTGGCAACTCACACTATGGGGCTGGCTTTCTTTTTAATCTCCATGCCAGCAGGGGATGCTGAGTCCATGTCCTGCCAATGGAATAACCCCTGAGATCAAGCTACGCCCTGGTCACCATTTGTGTCTCCTGTCACCCCTTCAGGATGACCCCACCCAGGTGGTTCACTACCTGATAGGAGTATCTAATCAATGTCCTGCTTGATTCTATTCTGAATTAGGTTTTTACTTTTCCTCTCTGGCCAGCCACCCAGGATTAGAGGTGTTTTAATGCCATCCTTGGGTTCTATATGCTTCTGGTGGCTTTGCCTGGCTCTCTCCCCAAACGCTAAGCTCTTACTGATGGCAGCCAGCTGTGTCCATCTGGCCAGAGCAGCTGTGCTCTGTGTGGTGCTGAGCCAGTGAGCAGCCCTGACTTCTCCCTGTCCCCTGTGATGTTTAGAGACATCACGAGGGACTAGATGGATCGGCTACTTGTGCCACAGTACTCTGCTGAACGATATCAGTCCCCTGGCAGCTCAAGGTGCTCAATACAGTAAAAAGTGTCTGGATCAGGCTGATATGTCAGAGTAAAAGAAGTCCAAATACGTGTAATTTTACTTCTAAGGAAATAAAAAAGAATTATAATATTTCATAGTAATATCATGGTACAAGGTGCTCTAAGTATATGATCTCTAATCATAAATTTGAGTAAATATCACTACACCTAATGAAATAGATGACAAACTTGAGGCCCAAAGAGCTAAGAAAGTGTCACTAAATAGAAGTCTTATTGCACCAGCTTTAAGCTTTTAAGCAGGAAAGGCATAGTCCTAAAAGCCAATAGGAAATGTTAAAATTCTGAAGTGGTTTTAAGCTTAAAGACTGGCCAAGAACAGTGGTCACCAAGTGTGAAAGAGTAATAATAGCTACCCTGTATTGAGCACCTACTAAGGGCCAGGCGCTATAGGGAAAAGAAACCAGGCACCAGGAGGGGAAAGACCCAACTAGAGGCCATGCAGCTCCTCTCACTTGCCCTCTCTGGACCTCAGTTTCTTCCTCTGACAAGTAAGGGTGATATAACCCTCCCTGCATGCTTCACAGGGTTGCTGGGTTGCTGAAATGAGCTTGGAAAAGAAGTGAGTCAGAGAGCGGAATGTGCAATAGGTGTGCAAGAGCTTGTGACACTGGCCGAACGGCCGCTCCTGAGTGGTGACTTTCAGCCTGGCCAGCAAGGAAGGAGTGTGCATTCTAAACTAGACTGGCAGTGTCTGAGTGTGGCAATGTTTGCCCTTGGTGTCAGGGATGTCACCTGCTTTCCACAATGTGGGCGGGCCAAGGGATGGGGCAGGTATCTGCAGTGAGGTAGATGGAGCAGCCTGTGAGGATTCTGATGAGAGGCTTGGATTCTTGGCTGCAGGGAAATCAGCCCCAGAGATTTGGAGTAAGTGTGCGCATGGGCTCAGGTAGAGGAGAGGGAGCCAGAAGTGGAGATGGAGTGAGGGGAGCAGGGCCTCTTCACTGCCTGAATGGGAAGTCCCAGCCAGTCACCTACGAAAGGTGGGGGCGGTCGCAGTGGCATGGACAACAATGAGATGCATGGTCTATAGAGAATTTAAAAGCAATAATAAAACCAATTAAAAGCTGGTGTGCTTATTATTACCACCATGTGCTGGTTGTTCTAAACAATGCCAGTGATAAAATACTTTTCGGCTTGCAAGGAATGGGGGGAAGAGGGGCATTCCCACTGCCTCTTTCCTGGCATGCCATGGACCCCTTGCCCCACCCCACAGTCAGCTGTTAACAAGTGGGTCTGGGCAGGGGAGAGGAAGGAGCCTTGGAAGGCCCTGCGGACAAAGAGCACCCTGGCCTATATATAGGGTCATCAGAGTGGACAGCTAAGATGGGCTCCCAGGATGGACCCAGCTATCCTGTGGGAAGGAAGAGCAGCCTGGGTGGAGTGTGAGGTAGACGGACTGGAGGACTCTGAGTCCCGTTACAGTACTGCTGTTTTCACCTGGGTGCCACCCTCTGCCACGCGCAGGTTATAATCAATTGGCAAGCACACTGAATGACTGATTCCTGAGCCTGCCCTTCATCCCACCCCATGTTCTGTACTAAACACACAGAAATCAGATTCTCCTCCTGGCTCTCCAGCAAGAGCTGCCCTGCCCAGGCTCCACAGGCTATCTGTGTTCTGCCCTATCCCTGGCCTGAGCTCTGGCCCTCACAGTGACCACCTCTCTCTCCTCTGCAGGAGCCAGGTCGAACCCACCAGTGATAAGAATCGAGGTCCTGTAGCCACAGAGCCAGACAAGAATCAAGGTCCCGTGGGCCCGGGGCCTCTAAAAGATCAAGGACTTGTGATCCAAGAGCCTCCGAAGGATCAAGCTCCTGTGGTCTCAGGGCCTCTGAAGGATCTAGGTCCCATAGTCCCCACACCAGTTAAGGATCAAGATCGTGTGGCCCCTGAGCCTTTAAAGAATGAAGGGTCTGTGATCTCAGCACCAGTCAAGGACCAAGGTTCCTGGTTCCCGGTGCCTCCAAAGAATCAAAGTCCTGTGGTTCCAGCAAGAATTAAGGATCAAGGTTCCATGGTACCAGAGCCTCCGAAGGATCAAGGTCCCATGACCCCAGCACCTGTCAAGGATCAAGGTCCTATGGTCCCAGAGCATCTGAAGCATCCAAGTGCCATGGTGACAGCACCGATAAAGAAAGAAGGTCTTGTGATGCCTGAGCCCATAAAGAATCAAGGTATAGTGGTCCCAGAGCCAGGCAAGGATCAAAGTGGAGTGGTCCCAGGGCTTCTAAAGGATGATGCTGTGGTTGCAGCACCTGCAAAGAATCAAGGTCCTGTGGTCCCAGCACTAGTCAAGGATCGAGGCCCCATGGTCCCCGAGTCTCCAAAGAATCAAGGTCATGTTGTCTCAGCACTAGTCAAGGACCAAGGTCCCATGGTCCCCGAGCCTCCAAAGAATCAAAGTCTTATGGTTCTACCACTAGTTAAGGATCGAGGCCCCATGGTCCCCGAGCCTCCAAAGAATCAAGGTCCTGTGGTCCCCGAGCCTGCGAAGAATCCTGTTTCTATAATCCCCATGCCTCCAAAAGATCAAGACCCTCTGGTGCCACCACCAGCAAAGGACCAAGGTCCTATGGTCCCTGAACCTCTGAAGACTCAAGGTCCCAAGGGCCCTCAGCTGCCCACTGTCTCACCTCCACCCCCAGTCATGATCCCAACTGTCCCACATGCAGAATATATTGAGAGTTCCCCTTGATGCTCACCCCTTGACACACCAAGGAAGGAGCTGGCAGTGAAAGTGCTCCCTCTCCAGGGCAGCGAAGACTCACATTTAATATGCATGAAATATGTACTGTATAGTCTTGCTGGAATATAATAAAACTGGTCCCTCTGGCTCAGCAATGTCTCTCTCTGGCTCTTTTTGAGAGTGTGTGTGTGATGCACATTGGAAAGGGGGCATGTCGGACCTGCATCACCCTTCTGGGGCCAGAGGAGCCTGAGAAATCCCCAGCTCCCATGAGTCATCAGCAAGAGATGGGAGGGGGTGGGAGATGCTAGGAGACAGAGGACAGGACACACCTGTGTTTCTCCTTCACTATCACACTCCTACATTCCTGACACCAGATGTGTGGGGGTCTCCCACACATCAAGTAATTATCCAACATGAGCTGAGTATCTCACAATTTAACTCAATTCTGACACTATCTACCTGGAGATAGCATCAGCTCCTACAGGTTAAGGGAGTCCCACAAGACTGCCCCTGCCCCCTCCACTTCAGATGCCAACAGCAAGTTCCAGGTTGTCCTGTCACTTGTACTTCTGACTGGCTATAAATTCGGGGTTCCTACAAACCCCTACTTGGGCTCAAAAATTTGCTAGAATGGCTCACAGAAACACGTTTACTGACTATAAAAGGATAAAGGATGTAGATGAACATCCAGATGGAAGGGATGGGTAGGGTAAGATATGGGAGAGGGGCATCGAACTTCCACGCCCTCTCCAGGCATGACACACTCCCAGTACCTCCAGCAACCTGAAAACTCTCCAAACCCCATACTTTTGGGATTTTTATGGATTTTTATGTCGGATTTTCACGACACAGACATAATCAATCATTAACTCATCCTCTTCCTGGAGGATCGGGGGGTGGAGCTGAAAGAGCCAAGCTTCTAATCACGGCTTCATCTTTCTGGTGACCAGCACCCATCCTGAAGCTACCCAGGGCCCAGCAAGAGTCACCTTCTTAAAACAAAAGACACTCATCCAGGAAATTACAAGGGTTTCAGGAACTCTGTGCCAGGAACTGGAGGCAGAAACCAATGCATATATTTTCTATTATTTTCCAGGTAAGGTCCCACGAAAGCCTAAGAACTGGTGCCGAATCACAGCAGGCTGAGCCCTTGGGTGGGTCAGAACTGGGGCCTGTAGAGGAAACAGGAGCAGGGACCCAGCTGGCAAAGGTAATTCTGGGAGACCGTTGTTTGCCAAGGACTCAGTCCTGAAGCTCATCCAGATGTGATGCTTCTTGAGAAAACCAGGCCTCTGATCAAAAGAGCCCCAGGACACTCATGTGGACAGAACCTAACATCTGCTGATCCTCACTCAGTATCCAGGACAGCTCAGCCGGGCTTCTAAAGCAATGCCTCAAGTCCGCCATTCATGAATGCACACAGCAGACTTTCCTTAGCACCCCGCTTTGTGTCTCACTCAGCACTGAGCATTGAGGTCACTGTGGTAAAAAAGTCCCAGGCTTATGACAAGAAAAGGGGGTGTGGGATGAGGGCCTGGGACAACTAAAGACCTGGTTTGAGAAGACAGTGAAGAGATGATGACTGGTGGGGGCAGCAAAGAAGGATTCTCGGAGAAAGTGGCCATGGAGTTCAGATAGCCTAGGCAGGGGCACCATGGGTGTGGCTGGAGGGCCAGGGTAAGCCTCCCTGGGAGTCCTTGAATTAAAGGAACCTGATTTGCATGAAGGCTTGATCAAGGGGTATAGAAGATCTCTGGGGCAGAAAACTGGGGCTAGGCAGGGGTGACCAGTTTTCTGAATCCCAGGACCTTGGGGAGGGAGTCGGGGTCAGTCTTGTGGGCTGTGTATTGCTGGCAGGTTGAGGAAGAAGATGGGAGCTGCTAGTGGGGCTGTAGCTCTGCCTTGGTCAGAGATGGGTCCTGTGAGGATCCCACCGTCTGGGCCACAATAGCCTCCCCGGTAAAACCCAGAGTACGCAGGGACCTAGGGGGATGGGAGGAGCGCCACCTGTTGCCCCACCAAAGCCAGCTCCCAAGGAACATTCCTACCCCTTTAAGATCTCTATGACCTATTATGGACACTAACTCCTTTTAAAGATCTTTTTTTTTTTTAAGAGCTCCTTTTAAAGGAGCTCAGCTTGGTTCTTACAGAGAAATCACCACAGGAAGTACTGATGACGTCCAAATTTTTCTGAGGAACTGGCCCGAGGCCTAGCTCCTCACCCCTTTCCCAACAGCACCAGGTTGTTCTGCTCCCAGAAGCCACCTCTATACACACACACACACACACACACACACACACACACTGAGGAGTCTTCCTGGTCCAATGCAGAGCTTGCTGCCATGTGCGTTTTAATAGAGTCCTACAGACAAAAAAAAAAAAAAAAAAAGGCCTCACTGACGCTAAGAAGTGTTGCGTATGGACACCTCCCTCCTTTCAGTTCTCCCTCAGACCCACACGCTCAGTCCCATGATACACACATTCCCACGGGCCAGGCAGGTGATGGTGCCATCCCTGAGATGTGTCACATCCAGGGGCAGGTGTCCAGAAGGCCATTACCTACCAGGGCTTGACCTGTGAAGGGAGAATGCCTGGAATAAGATCTGGGGATCAGCTGCCTTTGTGTGTGTGGGTGGGGAGGAGTGGGCGGTCACTGAAGCTCCACATTGAGCTCCCCCAGGGACAGTGTCAGAATGGGAAGAGGGGGGCCCAGCTCAAAGCTCCGGACACTTTTAAGAGGTAGGAAGAGAAGTGCACAAAGGAAGCTGAGAAGGGCTGGCCCTGAGCTGTAAGGAGAAACCAGGGGTCTGTGGGTGCCAGAAGCGATTCAGAGAGGAGAGCGATGCCCAGGAACAAAAGCTGAGAGTACAGATGAGGTGGCTGTGGGCCATGGCAACTTCCACTTGGGAGAGGGCAGATCTGGGCTCCAGCCCAGTGCCAGCCACACCAATTTTCTTACTTGTCAAACGTTCCTGACTATTAGAGGAGCTCCTGAGACAGAAAACCTCTAGCTCAGGGGTGAGCTGCTGGCAGCCTCCCCACCCACACCACGTCCAGCTCTCCACTGCACAGAAAGAAAGCCCGCTGGGGAGGTGATGGCCAGGGCCTCTGGTCCTGGGCTGGGGCACGGAAAGGCGGGAAATGAACTAGACTCTCTTAGCCCAACCCAGATGCAGACTTCATTCAAGCCCTGGTTCTTCTCTGCTGCAGCCATTTTCCAGCCCCTCCCCAGCATCCATCACCTCCATCCCGCCCTCTCCTCCTCCCTTCCCTCAGAAGCCTGGGGAACCCAGATAAAGGACCCTGGCTGGTCACAGCCAGCGACTCTGCCTTTACAAATGCCGCCAGCCTGTGGGCGAGGAGAGGGAGAGAAGCCGAGAAAGGGTGGGGAAGAGGAGACAGGGCGGGTCGGAGCTCTGCAAGGGGAGGCCTGCACTCCTGGCCCAGGGCCAAACCCGAGTGGTTCAGCATCCGAGACTGGGATCCCAAAGATGCTCAGATTCTGCCCAAGAGCTCTAAATCCTACAGCTAGTCTCCGACCCTGTCCGCCCACAGCCCAGTCCGCGGATGTCTGAGCACTCGCACACCGCCACGCCCGCGAGCTCACCCCCGTCCAGCGGCCGCGCTGTGGGCACTGGGCAGCTTCCTCTGCCAGTGCAGCCTAGCTCGGTGGGGCCTCGGGACGCGGGGTTGGGCTGTGGGAGGGACGTGTGGGGTTGGCAGATGGGCGAAAGAAGCCTTGGGGCGAGCTGGCGCGGACCATGCCCTCCACCCACCCGCCCTGAGAGGGGCTGGCGCCAGCTGGAGGCCGACCTTGGATACCCCCGAGGCCTCGCGGGAGCCCCTGGTGACTGATGTGGGGGGAAAGCCGCGATTTTACTCCTTTTTCCACTTAGCGATCCTCTCCCTGAACGCCGGCAGGAAGCTGCCATGGCTGTGCTAATAGCCCGACCCTGACCTATCTACCTCCACCACCTGCCCTGCCACTCTCCACACCAAGCAACTGCACCCTTCACTGCGCGGTGGGGGCACAGACCTCTCACCACCCTTCCCTGTGCCCGGATGAAGTCCAGTGTCCTCGGGGAGGCCCCGCTTTGTGTCATTTGGGCGGCCCTCACATTCGGGCCTGGCTTCTCGTTGCCTACTGCCACCTGGTGGGGGGTTGTTGCAGGCTGAACTTTGGGCCGGGAAGGGCGGGGGGGTGTCAGGTTTCTAGTCTAGTCTCTGCCCATTTCTGAGCTGTATCTGTATGATTAGGATGACTTCCCACCTAACTGGGCTATTGTGGGGATTAAGTGAGACAACGTCGTATAAAGACTGTAAGCAGGTTGTGCACCTTCATTATTAGAATCTGGCCAGTTCCTCTCCTGCCCTTCCTGTGTGGTGTGGAGGAAGAACAATTATACAACTGAAGAGGAGCATTTCCCAGGGCCTCAGGGCAGGTCGCCTAACCTCTCTCACTCAAGCCTCCGTTATCTCACCCGTAAAATAGGGATAATGTCTACCTAACCAAGCTGTTAGGAGGCTGAGATGAAATTATACATATATAATCAAGTAACTGACATGGCATTTAGCACATAGTAGAAGCAAAACACAAAGGTAGTACCAGCTGATATTAAGTTATCCTGATTGAGAAATGCCTACTTACCCTTCAAGGCAAACCCTGTCACCTCCTCCTAGAAGCCTTCCTTGTACTCCCCATGGCAGCCGTGGCTTCCACCCCTGGGCTCCCACAGCCCTGGTGCCCTTCTTTTTTTTTTTAAGTTTTTTTTTTTTAATTGGGGAATTGGGGGATGGGAAAAGCGCTGGGGAATTGGGGGAAGGGGCACAGACGAGTTGCTGTCCTTTTCTTCAGTCTAGTTGTGGAGGACGTTGCTTCGCTGGCCCAAGTTGGCACCATCACTGCACTCTTCCCAGGCGAGGCAGATCAGTCGCCGGCTTCTGGACAGCCGCTCACGGTGGCTTGAGGGCCGCTCATGCTGGCTGCTGGCCACACATGATAGCCCATGGCAACCCACTACAGCAGGGGCTGCAGCCCACGCCGACACTGGTGACTCACGTCAACCCAGCCACAGGTTGAGCTGTTGTTCAGCATCTTAGCTGTGGAGGGCAGTGTCACTGGCCCTCATATGTGGGATCCGAACCGGGGCCTTCTGGCGTCCCAAGCCAGCTCTTAACACGCCACTCGGCCAGCCCCCTGGTGCCCTTCTAACACAGCCTTTTCCCTTACTTACTCCGCATATATGTTTGGTGCCTTATATGTGTATCATGTTGAATCTAGGTGCAGGACATATGGTGATGAGCAAGACATAGTTCCTATTCTTATAATAGTGGGGGGACAGTGAATATGTTAATAGGTGGATAATTTCATAGTGCTAAGGAGTTAGTAAAACGAGAAAACGTAATAGAGATATTGAAGTGGGGGAGGAGCTGTTTATATTAGGTTGGTCAGGGAAGGCCTCACTAAGCAGATGAGGCCTCATTAAGCTTTCTGGATGACAAAAAGCAGCCCTGCAAAGATCTAGAAGAACCACTTGCCAGGGAGAAAGAACAACTAATGCAAAGGCCCCGAGGCAGGGGAATGCGTGGCATGTGTGAGAGCAGAACAATCCAGGGGACTGGAACACAGTGAGTACCAAACACACCTGTCACTGTCCCTAAGTCTCCGCCTCTAGATGAAGCCCCATGAGGGCACTGACCTCATTTATTGGGTCCACAGCACAGACCTAGAGCTCTGAACAGTTGTGTTAAAATGCTGTTACAGTAATAATGGGAATCAGCTGGCCTTTCTGCAGCCCCATTCACATCTTAGAGGACTCCAACTGGGTTGCCCAGCCAGGCAGGGGCTCCTTCCCTTCACCAACAACCTCCAGAGCAAGTTGTTGAGATGGGGAAGCCAAAGAGATGCCCAGAGAGAGGGAGTGACTGTCCAAGGTCACACAGCCAGCAAGCAGCAGATGGGCTAAGAACGCTTTTTCCTCTGCCTCCCCAGCCATGTGGACCTTCTGTCCTGTGCATCCCAAACGCCCTCTCCCTCCCCAAACTGTAGGAGCCCGGAGGACCAGGAGAGGGAACCAAAGTGAGGCGGACTGTGTCAGGTCCCTCCTCCTTTTCTGCTACAAACGCAAAACACAGAGCAAGGATCCCACAAGCCCCTTCCTTCCAAAGCCATGTTCAGTCAGGCAGCCTGAAGCTTGTACCCTCTGGCCCTGGATGTGGATGAAATCAGCTTGAAGTGAAAGGTTAGGGGGCTGAAGCCTGGGGTCCTGGACAACAGGACCGGGACACCCTGGACTCCAGGTTCAACGCCATCACACTGACCCTGCAGCCACCACCTCTCCAGGGCAGACAGAGCCGAAAAACAATCTCCTGAGTCAGCACACAGCAGGCCTGCCACACACTATCATCTACAGTTAGCTGCCAGCATTTCAGGGCCTGAGATGGGCTGTCAGTAGCAAACTTGGCTTAACAGAAGGAGCTCTTGTGCCCTGGGCAGAATGACATGGGAATCTCTGATCCAATTATCTTTGTGCACCAAGAAAATTTCACTGAAAAAATTTTATTCAAAAAAAAAATTGTACAAATAAGTTCTTGGTTTGACAGCAACAAAGGTTCATTTTCTCCCCATCATTGAAAATCTGTTAAAGGGGAAAAGTTCATCCCTATAATGCTTGACCAGAGTGTGCCCAGGAGCCCCACCCGCCATGTGCTATTTCCTGATCCCCCTCACTGGGGCCAGGGCCACTGTGGGTGTGCCTGTCCCAGGGGCCGCAGCACCTTGTTTTATAGTTGAGGGAAGTTGGGACAAGGTTGGGGTAGAGCTGAGGAGGGGGCTGAGGTGGTGGTAGTGTCAGAAAAGAGGCTCCCCATTCCACAAGGGCGTGGCTGAACCCCCCAGCTCAATTCCGTCTCACAGATGAGAAAGCACTTGGCTATAAATATGAACACTGATTGAGGCAGGCTTGTTCCTAGGACTCTGAGGGCAGGGCATGATGACTACTGTCCAGGTCCCACAGCATCATGATATCTGGTACCCATGTCCAGGCTGGGAAGGTCTCCTCAGACACAGAAAGTTGGCTATTCCCCCACCCACCCACCCACCCCATGGAATATCCAAGGTGAGTACCTCAGCTCCCCCCACCCCCATAGCACCCATATCTCAGGAGCCTTCAGCTGCCTCCTGCCATCTCGTACCCTCCCGGGGCCCTACAACTCATCTCGCATCTTGTCGCCCTTGGGCCGGACCAGACGCCCAATGAACAACAGGGAGCCGCTCTGGGAGTCTCGAACCAAGAAGATGAAGGGGTGGTCGGCATAGAAGAGCTTGGGGCTGCGCAGCTCCTCACGCCCATAGATGTCCTGGTCAAAGGGGTTGCCCTCTGTGTCCCACTCGAAGGCGGTGGCGTGGAACACACTGGCCAGGTACAGGTCCTTCTTGCCCGACATGCGCGACAGGTCTGCCTTGTTCTTGTCGATGGCCTCAGTCAGACCCAGGCCAGCCAGGTGTTTCTATGGGAATAGGTGGGTGCCAGGTGAGGCCACAGTAGGCAAGGCTTCCAGACCCTCACCCTCTACCCACACAGCCTACCATCTCCTACCGTGTCTGTTCCTCAGAGCAAAGGGTTCCTACTCCCTGGCCATCTTCTGTGTGCCAGACATGGCATGGGCACTTCAGTTCTCATGACAACCCTGCAAGAGCTTCTAACTGGCACTCCACAGATGAGGAAACTGAGACTCAGGGAAAAGGCAGAATTTATCCCTGACCCTGCCAAGAAATCTTGACTAGTGCTTCTTGAAGTATGGGTCATAGACAGCCAGCATTAGCACCACCTGGGGGCTTATATGAAACACACATTTGCTGACCCCAGCCCAAAACCACTGAATCAGAATCTGTGTGTGTGTGGGTGGGGAGGAGTGGGCGGTCA